TCTTTACTTCACCCAACGCACAAGTTACCGATAGAAATAACGGTTTAAAGTACCAAAACCTCTTTGATGCACTAGTCGACACGGTGTATGCTGCATTGGCAAAGGCCGGAGGCCCTAATGTACCAATTGTAGTGTCCGAAAGCAGTTGGCCTTCGGCTGATGGTGATAATCATGGTGCTGCTACGTTTAATAACGCTCAAACGTATTATAGGGGTTAAATAGGCCATTATAGGCAAGGTACTCCCTTGAAGAGACAAGCAATTGAGACGTACTTATTTGCAATGTTTGATGAGAACCAAAAAGGTGGTGCTAGTACTGAGAACAATTTTGGATTGTTTAGGCCTAATAAACAACCAAAATACCAACTTAATTTCAATTCAAAACTATTTAATTAGTTTTCGGATATGTAGTTTTATACTATACATAATGAATAAATGATATATAACACACGGGCATAGCCTAAAGATGTAATAAAATGTGATTTTTTTTTTTTTTAATTTGATGAAAAGATGTAACAAAATATTATACTCCAGTTGAAAAAATGTTATGTTTATTATTAATATTATGTATTACTCTACGTGATATTAATTCTTACTACTGTATAATACAAATCTATTGAAATTTGTGTTGGTTCACCTATAGTCCATCTTAATATTGTGTAAATTCTTTGTGTCAAAAAAAATTGTTCAAATATTTGAGGAGAAGTTTTTCAACATCATTGCTATTTTCGATGGCTAGATATCATGGGCCGCATTGCCCGCATACTCTCTGGGCCGCATGCCTTTTGAGTCCATATCACTTAGAAATGTTTAATGCAACATTATATGCTCACTAAAATAAATCATTCACCCTCTCCATGAGTTGATGACATCGGTCGTACTTTAAATAATGTATCCACGCTTTTTTTTTTTTTTTTTTTTTTGGAAGAAAAACACTTGTATTATTATTATGACTTTATTTTTATTTTTTTAATTATGACTCTATTTTTTAAATTAGAATTATTATGACTTTAATAATTGTCTATATAAAGTGGCATGTGAAAAATGAAATGATCGACTTACTACCATTACTCTATTTTCAAATAACTTCACTCCTTCAATGGCTGCCGCAACCTCGCTGCTCATCACAGCATTTTTATTACTTAGCCTACATCTTACAGGTATCTTTCATTTTACCTATTATTGTGCCATAGAGTTTTAACATTTTTATGAATCGGAGGTAGTAATTGATTTTCAATTTGTCTAGCATGTCGAAGTTATCTATCATTGTATTTCATGTCAGATTCGAGTCATATTATCTTTTCGTGTAGATATTATCAGCTCTAGATTCAATTCATTGGCTTTATGGTAAAATAAATCCTCTGCAGCAAATTTCCCATGTTATTTTTTCTGTTTAAAGGTAAAAAAATAGAGAAATTTTGGGATTTTCTCATCACAGGGAATTGCTAGTGATAACGTTCTTAGCAAAAATTTAACATATGTACGAAGTACATGCTTTAAAAATGTATATATATGTGGCAAAACAAGTTCTTTTACAGCTTAAATAGTATCACACCTTAATTAGGTAGCTAGCATTGTTTTACTAATGATGAGCAAAAAATATAGTAGAGGCGCAAATTGGAGTATGTTATGGAAGGAATGGAAACAACTTACCAAGCGGACAAAATACAACACAACTCTACGACTACTACGGCATAGACGCAATGAGACTCTACGAGGCCGATCAAACGACACTCGAAGCCCTACAAGGAACTGGCATCAAGCTCATGTTGGGTGTCCCTAATGAAGAAATTGAATGTATAGCGTGTGATCAAACCACCGCCGATGAATGGGTTCAGACCAACGTCGTCCCCTATGCAGAATTTATCAAATACATTGCTGTCGGAAATGAAATCCATCCATCTGACCAGCCAGCCTCATCAGTTGAACCAGCTATGCAAAATATTTTAAATGCTTTAAATTCTAACAACATAACAAGTGATATAAAGGTTTCTACGGCCATCGACACGAGTTTAATCATAAACTCGTATCCACCATCTAATGCCGAATTTAAAAACTTGTCATATGTTACTCCAATAATAAATTTCTTAACAACTAATGAATCACCTTAGTTGGTAAATATTCAACCCTACACTACTTATATGAATGATCCGAAAAATATTAGACTAGACTTTGCATTATTTACAGCATGTAGGATTGTATTTACGGATGAAAATAGTGGTAAAAATTATCAGAATTTATTCGATGCAATATATGATGCAATGTATGTAGCAATAGAGAAAGTTGTTACAAATGCACCTGATGAGTACACCTATTCAGTCGATGATGGTCGTAGGCACAACACGAGGCACAAGCCACCTAGGGTGGTGGTCTCGGAAAGTGGGTGGCCGTCGAAAGGTGGATTTGGTGAAAAAATAAAGATGAAGGCTAGTAGAAAGACGCACCACCAAACGAACGGGGGCTTAGAGTGTGGAGGGGCATTACAGAATAATGGAGAGGAAGAGGCGGCCGCCACACCGGAAAATGCAAAGACTTACTACACCAATTTGATCAAGCATGTTAAGAAGGGGACTCCTTTGACACTAGGTCAAGAGATCGAGACATACTTGTTTGCAATGTTTGATGAGGATCTAAAACCCGGGGATGAAACGGAGCGTTCTTACGGGCTTTTTACACCCGATCAACAGCCTAAGTATGGCATACTCGACATTTGTTGATCGATATTCCATAATATTACCTGATTGTACGTATGTATGATTGCAAACTAAGTATCTTGATAATGTTGTGTGCATTAGGAGTTTCCCTAACAAAGAAGGTTTTCTAAATGTCGTGGCCTTTAATTTTTTTTTTTTTGAACTTTAATAAAGACAAGTACTTCAATTGGTATAATTTTGTGTACTAATAAGCTAACATGATTTCCTAGTAATATAAGTTGTAACCGTATCATAAATCAAGCATATTAACGTACTCATAAAAATATCCCAAAATAATTGATCGATGATAATTCTTAAAAAAAAAATTCTTATTTTAACTTTTTACGACACAATCATCAATTAAGAAAAACTTTGTGTCGAAAAATTACCTCCAAAAATATGTAATAGTGAAGATTAATAATAGAATTTGTTATGGTGGTGATGTGAACCAATAATATCAAGTGATACATAAAATAAGACGTAATATATAATGGAACTAAGAATTTGAACTCGATTTAGACACTAATACAATTGTTAATGTATTATGCCAAGTTGATCTTAAACAAACCTCTAGATAGTAGATAGACAGGTATAGGCTTATTTAATTTGGAAACATTATTATATCGTTTGAAATATGATATTTAAACTATAATGTACACTTATGTTAGTTATGTATATATTGCTTCTTTATTTTATGGAGTACTCTTTATGATATCCCAAATAAAAAGTCAAAATCATTTTAGATTGAATTAAGATCAATCTTTTTTTTCTTTTTTCTTTTGAGGGATTAAGATCGATTTTTAGCTTGCATGCAATGTTATGTTTTGGCTGTAATTTAATTTCAATATGGCTTCTAAAACATTTTTCTTGATGTCCAACGTATTTACACTCAAATAGAATTGACAAGGTAAGGTTTTTTTATTTTTTTTTCCTGATCGATTAAGAACCCTTGTGCTGTACGACTTAACATTAACAATGATTGTAGGAGATTGTTTATGCAAGTGATTTTGAGGGTTTTTTTTTTTTTTTTTTTTTTTTTTTTTTTTTTTTTTTGTTGGTGGTTAGAGAGTCTTAAGGACAAGTGATGGAAATCGATCCCAAGATCTCCTGGGACCGAGAGGGAATCTCTAACCATTTGAGGGTATTAATTGTTTACTAGCAATTATTATATGTAGATAAGATATTTTAGCATGCAAATTTTGTGGACATTAGACTTAATGACTTATTGAGCACTCCCACTTAAGAAGACCAGTGTTCACATTTACAAGAAGGCTATCCACCTACATTTCCACTATATACTCTGAACTTGTTCAAGAATGTCTACATACATGCTAAAAGGACAAGAAGTAATAATAAGATCTAATTAAGCTAGCTACCACCACTATACAACTTGACTTGCTAAACTAAACGAAGTATACTTGTATATCAACTGAAAATTGTTTAAAGAGAAACGATATCATTGATTATTATGCGGTCAGATCTAATTAAGCTAGCTACCACCACTAGGGTTTATACATTTCAATTGGCCGCCCCTTGATTCAACTCGAAGACTAATTAATCATCGGGTGGCTATATGGATAATAATTTAATACAGTTAGGACATTCTTCGATCTGTCAAGACTAAACTCTACTTTATCAATAAAATACAGTAAATAATATATCTAAAAAAAAAAAGAGAGAGAGATGATATATATATATATTGATGTGTTAGTATATATGTGATGACCTAATAATGACATTACAACATAATCTGGAGCACACGATTTGCTTTCTAGTACTCCCGCTGCTCCAAAATATCTGACACAATCAACTTTGCACACATGTTGTCAATGCACTAGTTTGACTTTATTTTTATATAATTAAATATTAATGAAAATTATATTTATTTGATCAAATATGTTTTTATTATGTTAGTAAAAAATTATGGTCAAAGCTAATACATGAATAGTGAAAATAGTCCAACATCCCAGATATTCTGGGACGGAGGGAGTGTACATGGTGAGAATTAATTAGGGGGTAGAACCAAGTACAACTTTTGAAATTATATTAGGGGTCGGGGTGGAACCAAGTATACGTACCTTGAGTATATGGAATAACATCAGCTTAAGCGGGTGTATAAAGTAGTACCAACTTTTATATCTTTTTATGGTGCACTTTTATAAAAACCGTGCAAATATCAAGTGAGTCGAACTTTCAAAGACCTATGTAACTGTGATGATAGTATTTTACATTAGTAGCTCTTTTTTTCATTTGTACACGGTCAACCACTACTCTCGAGTTGTGTCGCATACATAATCTATATAAATAGCCAAATGAAATGATCGCATGACTTAAAACCATTAAGTTAGAAATTTAACTCGAATGGCTGCCACTACCTTGCTGTTCATCGCTGCATTCTTATTCTATTGCCTACACCCTACAGGTATTTCTCTGATTACATTCTAATCTTGCCATTTGCAAAATGTAAATAATCAAAAATTAATTGATACATAACTCTTAATGCCATTATATTAACTAATTCAGAGTTTGCTTTGTCATTATCTTCTTAAAAAGCTAGTTAAATTGGTTTTTATGCATGTAATAACATTACATACCCTTGTACTTATACTCCTACTAAGCTAATTAATGTGTTGATTTTCCTTAAAAAAAAAATGTGTTGATTAATGTATTTATTCAATGTATAGAGGCACAAATTGGAGTATGTTATGGAAAGATCGGAGACAACTTACCATCTTCACAAGATGTTGTGAACTTATACAAATCCAATGGCATAAAAGCAATGAGACTCTATTTTCCTGATCAAGATACTCTTCAAGCCTTACAAGGAACAAACATCGAGCTGATGTTAGGAGTCGCGAATGAGAATATTGAGTCCTTAGCATCATGTTCGTGTGCTGCGAAAAGATGGGTCCGAAGAAATGTCCTCCCTTTTGGATCATTGATCAAGTACGTTGTGGTGGGGAATGAAATTAACCCATCTGATAAACAAGCCTCGTCAGTCTTACCAGCAATGCAAAATATTATATATGCATTAAACGCGTCTCAAAATTCAAATAACTTAAACGATGAAATTAAGGTTTCTACGGCCATTAATACAAACTTAATTAAAAACTCGTACCCCCCATCTAATGGCCAATTTCAAGACCTGTCATATATTACCCCAATAATAGACTTTTTGAATAGTAACGACTCGCCTTTGTTAGTTAATATTTACCCTTACTTTGCTTACATCAACGACACACAACATATTTCACTTGACTATGCGTTATTTAACGCCCCTGAAGTTGTTTTCACCGATCCTAACAACGGGTTGGACTACAAAAATTTATTGGATGCAATGGTGGATTCAGTGTACGCGGCTCTACGGAAGGCAGGAGCGAACCACCCTCGTGTCATCGTGTCGGAGAGTGGATGGCCATCTCGCGGTGGCTCTGCTGCTACAATGGACAATGCAAAGGCCTACTATGAAAACTTGGCCAATCATGTGAAGCAGGGGACTCCTTTGATGGCAGGGCAGCCTATTGAGACGTACTTGTTCGCGATGTTTGATGAGAATCAAAAACAAGGGGCTAGTAGTGAACGCAATTTTGGGATTTTCTATCCAAATCAACAATCTAAGTATGGACAACTCAACTTCTAAATGTACACTATATGCTTAGAGTATAAATAAAATGTTTGGTTACCAATTTATGTTAAATCTTGGCATCTATATAAACATTAATGCTTGAATAGAGTTTTGGCCTTGCTTGCAATTTAGTATTTAAGTTCATATTTTCGCTTTCTCATAAATGAATTTGGAATGAAACATCATTGTTAAATATTGGATAAATGAATTTGGAATGGAACATCATTGTTAAATATTGGATAACTATGGATAAGAATTGACATATTCATGCATCATGGCAATGAAGGATAATTTATTTTTATTTTTGGTGTAATTGAGTTGCAAGGACAAGTGATGTACTAATATAGACGACCACCCCTCAAAACTAAGTTAGTTATTGATCATACACGGCAACGAGGGATAATCCAAGTAGCTAAGACAAATTTTATGAATGACTCAACCTAACTTAAACATACTATGTCAACTCTATAAATTGCACGTAGTATATGGGCTGCACATATGCACCCAAATAATAAGCTTCCATTATTTCCAAACTATTTGGGGAAGTAATCCCTCAAACGGCTAATTAAGATGATTTGAGGTGTCCCTTCAAAAAATAAAAAAAAAATGATTTGAGGTGTTACACTCTTTCCAAAAAGTACATATGCATCATTAAAGGTGGGCACCGTGCCTGAGTAGACGTGTCGTGAAGCTTCCATTATTTCCAAACTATTTGGGGAAGTAATCCCTCAATCGACTAATTAAGATGATTTGAAGTGTCCCTTCAAAAAACAAAAAAAAATGATTTGAGGTGTTACACTCTTTCCAAAAAGTACATATGCATCATTAAAGGTGGACACCGTGCCAGGCCGTGCCGCCGCGGGCCACCGTGCCTAAGTAGACGTGTCGTGTCGTGCCGCCCAAGTCACAGGCCAGCCCACGGCACGGCACGACCCACGTGCCATTCGGGCTCGTGCCGTGCTGGCCTGCGTGCTGGCCTGGTGGGCTGGCCTACTGCCTTCCTCCCTTTTTTTATAATTTATTTATTTATTAATAGTTTATAACTTATAATCTTATATTATTATTTTTCTAAAATAAATTAAGTTTAATATTTATGTTTTATTATTTTTTATATTTAATATTTAAATTTATATATTTAGTTTATACTATTACTTTATAGTTTAATGTTTATAATTTATTACATTTATTTTTGTATTATTAATTATTATAATTTTAGTTTTGTTATATTAATTTACGAATTATAACTTAACGAAAAAAAAAAGGCAAATTGGACTTTGGATGTGAATAATGCATACTTCATATTATTATTACTTGAAAAAATTGTACAATGATGATAATGATAAAAATCGTACAAGGATATTAAACAAAAATTGGATAATGATAAAAATCGTAAAATGATAATATTGATAATGATAAAAATCGTACAATATACAAAAATTATCTATTCTTCTTCTTCTCCTTGTGCGTCTTCGTCTTCGTCTTCGGCTTCGGCTTCAAGGTCATAGGCTAGTTGCATAGATTGGGAACTAGCCGAACCCGAACAGTCGGAAGCGGAGGTTCCTTCATCGTTGTCGTTGTCGTTGTCGTCGTAAGAACGGTCTTGTGATCGATTTACCGCATCCAACCAATCTTTGAAACACACGCACATTTCAAGTGTTTCGGGTTTTATCCTTGTTCTTCTATCGTCTAAAACCCTCCCAAATGCGCTGAAAGCTCGTTCGGAGGCAACGAAGGAGACTTGGATACCAAGAATGTCCCGTGCCATTGCCGCCAAAGTTGGATGCTTCGTGCTTTGTTGTTTCCACCATGCAAGGAGGTCGAGGCTGTTTATCTCATCGTCGTCCATGCCCTTGGTGAAGTCGTAACTCAAGTACATTTGCAACTCCGAGACATCGCTTTGCGTTCTCCTTATTGATGAATCACCTGAAAACCTTGAAATCAAGTTAGTAGCTTGTGAAAATAAATGTTTGGCCTTCTTACTTACGTTTTTGGATGGTTGGGAAGGCCCTGAGCGAGGAACGGTGCCATATTTGGCTTCATAGACTCTATATAAAGCAAAAAACTGATCCTTCACATTAGTCTTATAGGCATCTACATCATCGTCAAGAAGCATGCATTGAAAGTAAATGTCAACTAACATAAATGTATTTTCATACTTTTGCATAGGATCTAATATGGAAGCAAAAATATAAATCAAAGCAATTTCACTATAATATTTACGCCACTTTGTTTCCATTGCTGGAAGATACTGATCATAATCACTTTGGTTGCGATGATCAGCGAAAAGTTGGGCGAGTAAACATGCATTTGAAAGAAAGTTTTGAGCACAAGGATTATAAACAGAAGAAAAACAATACGTCATGTTATATAATAACTGTAAAAATTGCATATATCGTTCACATTTAGCCCAATCATCCTCATACAGAGCATTGTTTGGAAATTTTTGGTTATAAAAAATTGTCAACGGATTCTTGTACTCAATTGCGTTAGTTAACATGTCAGAGGTGGAATTCCACCTAGTTGGGCAATCGGTTTTGATTTTTTATTGCCCTTATCTTTTGTTGTCTTAAAAAACTCTTCCATTCTTGGTATCTCATGTTTGAGCTATTAATAGACATAATAGTTTCTCCAATTTTGTTATAATATGGACCCATTACTCTAAATCCATCCTGTACACACAAGTTAAGAACATGGCAAACACATCTAGTATGAAGTGCATCACCATCTAATATTACATCGGTCAAGTTTTGTTTGACATAATTAGCAGTATTTGTCATTGCGGTTGCATTGTCAAATGTCATAGACATCATTTTATCTCGAAGTTTGTATTCATTTATTGCTTCCATTAAATGGTGAGAAATGTTAATACCGGTGTGGGGGTATTCAAGCATTTTGAAATGGATTATTCGTTTTTGTAACAACCATTTATCATCTACCAAATGGCAAGTCACACATAAATAGTGATATTTATAACCACTATCCCAAGAATCAGCAGTCAAAGACACTCTACAGTTAAGGTTACTCAATTCGGCTTGTAACCGCATTTTGTACTCTAGGAAGTTTTTCATGGCGGCGGAACGAACGGTTTTCCTAGAGATTCTTTTATGTTGGGGTTGTAATGCTTTGTTAATGTAAGTGTTAAATGGGTCACTTTCGGAGAAAAGAAAAGGTTGTTCGACGTGTACTATCATTTTCCCTAGTTCATCCCTATCCCTCTCATAGTTATAGGTAAAGCCGTGTGGATGGAATTGGGAAATTTTTGGCTGGGTTGGATCACTAGCTGGTTTTGCACAACTTCTCATGTGTCTAGTTAAGTGTCCCGTCCCCGATGTGGATTTTGCCGAGAATGAATGACCACATGTTTTACATTTTGCTCTTAGGTGGTCTCTACTTAGGAGGAAATAACGCCATACCTCACTTTTGCGGCTTTTGACAAGTACCATCTCACTCTCGGTTAATCATTCCTCGTGTGTGTTTGGGAATTGGGTGTTTGTAGAATCGGGGGTTTTTTGGTTAGTAGTAGAACCGGAGGCATTTAGGGTTTGTTGGCTACCTTGGCTAGAATAAAAATTTTGTGGGTCAAAGTAATTTGGTGGGAATAGACTGAATTGTGGAAATTGGTTTGGTGGTGGAAATCCGAGCATATTGTAGGGTTGAAAACCGGAAGTACCATCGTGCCTAAATTGTTCGAAGCCTAGGGGGACGTTACCGGGGTCATTGGTTGGAATGGCCGGACTCGAAATTTGGGGGCTCGTTGGATTAGGTGATTCCCTAGAACTACTACCACAGACACTACTAGAAATAGGCCGTTTTCCGAGGGAATCGTTCTGACGGACCTAAATTCCTTCGGAACATTCGAACTTTCCGACGGAATTAGGGTCTGTCAGAAAATTCCGTCGGAAAAGGTACGTTACGACAGAAATTCAATCGGAATTCTTGCGACGGAATTTAATTCCCGTCGGAAAGTTAACTTTTCGGCGGAAATAAAATATGTCGCAAGAATTCCGACGGAATATTCCCTCGGAAATCCCAAATATTCTGACGGATTAGTATTCCGTCGGAATCTTAATTAAAAAAAAATCTCTTTAAAAAAAGAAAACCAAACCCTAACCCTGAGAGCCGCCACTTTCCTCTCCTCTTTCTTTCCTTTCTTCTTTTTCTCTCTCCTCCTGGTCAGCCTTCTTTCCTCTCCTTCTTCCTCTATTTTCTTCTCCTTCTTCCCTCTACCTGCATCTTTCTTCTCCTTCTTTCCTCTATTTTCTTCCCCTCTTTCTTCTACCATGACAACCACCACGCCATCACCAACACCATCACCCACAACAAACAACGACAACAACAAAGAAGAGTACAACCACCACCGTGCAACAAATCTCAGGCGGCCACAACAACAACGACAACAACAACATCAATTGCACAGCAACAACAACGACAACATCAAGTATTGTAGATCTTGTTTTAATTGTAGATCTAGTTTTCTTTTTAATAAATTTCTGATCGATTATGGTTAATTTTTAAGTAATTGTAATATTAAGTTATAAATTTTATGAGATAATTGTATACTTTTTTGGTTTAATTGTCGTTATAAGTTATAATATTAAGTAATTTGTTTCTCTTATTTTTTTGGTTTAATTGTCGAATTTTTCGATTTTTTGGGTTTATTTATCTAATTCCTTAAAATATTTTGGGTAATTTTTACTGATAAATTCAGATTTTTGATTTTTTTTTTAATTTTTTTTTTTGGTGGTGAACGGTGGTCATGGTTTAAGGTTTGGGCTTGTGGAGTGGTGGGGGATGGTGTGGAGTGGTGGCGGTTAAAGGGTAGGTGAGGTCGTGGGCTAGTGGTGTGGTGTGGGGTGGGGAGTGGTGGTGGTTAAGGGGTATGGGGTAGGGGATGGGTATGGGGGCAGGGGATGTAGGCTGGGTGGGTGGGTATGGGGGCGTTGGGTGTGGGTGTGGGTGTGGGTGTGGGGTGGGGGTGGTCTGGGCAGGTGGGGTAGGGTGGGGTGGGGGTGCCCTTTTTTGTTTTTTTGTTTTTTTTATTGACTTTTCCGTCGGAATATACCTTTTCCGACGGAATATTCCGTCGGAATGTACCTCTTCCGACGAAAAATTCCGTCGGAAACCTACCCACCTCCGACGGAAATTTTCGTCGGAAATTTGCGACGAAATCTCAAATAAAGTCAAAAACAGCACCGAAAGAATTAGATCCGTCGGAAGACCGCCTTTCGACAGAATTTCCGCCGAAAAAGGTCGAATTTCCGACAAAGGCTGTTATGACAGACTAATTCCGACGGAATTCCGTCGGAAAGCCAGATTCCGACGGAATTTCCTATGTTTCCGACGTAATTTTTCCATCGGAATCCAGCTGTTTTCTTGTAGTGGGACAAGTCGGGGTTTCTCCTTCCCCCTAGATGATGATGGGTTACTTGATGCCATAATTAACAATAATAATTTTAATAATAACTAATTAACAATAATAATAATAATTAATAACAACAATTATAACAATAACAATGACAACAATAATAATTAATAACAATAATTGTAATAATAAAAATAACAACAATAATAATTAATAACAACAATTTTAACAATAATAATAACAATAATAATAATTAATAACAACAAATATAACAATAACAACAATAATAATTACTAACAATAATTGTAATAATAACAATAACAACAATAATAAATTGAAGATTAGTTTAGATCTTACAACCGTGCTTCAACGCTTTCCACTAATTACGATTACGAACTTTTAATTTTTTTCCGATATTAAGAAATAATATTTAGAGAATTTAAGAGAATTATTAGAGAATATAAGAGATTAAGGATTATTAGAGAATATAAGAGATTAAGAGAGGAAGATTGTGAATTTGTGATTTGGGAAGTGAATGGAATTTGGTATTTATAGGGAATTTGGGAAAGAAATAGGGGAAATAGAGTCGTTTATGGCCGTTGCTCCAACAGAAAAATTGGCAAAAATAGCCGTTTATGGCTGTGTTTGACCGTTGGCATGACGGGCCGTGCCTGGCGGACCGTGCCTACATGCCGTGCCACGGGCCAGCACGACGGGCTAGCAGCGGGCTTGTGTCGGGCCGTGCCAGAAAAATCAAAACGCTGTCCGTGGCACGGCCCACGGCTGGGCCACCGTGCCGGGCCGGGCCTGCAGCGGGCTCGTTCCGGGCCGTGCCCACCTTTATGCATCATCATAGGAGGGAAAAAAAAAATAGACTAACAGTAGTAAAATCAATTAGAGCTCAATTATCTAACGAACACACTGAGTTTCGTTATAGAAAACTAGATCTCTATACATGCGATGCGTGCTTTAAGTTTCTAAATTTACATGCACTGATCACTTTAAAGAGGAAGTATCAATCATATTATTTTAGGTGGATACTACTACCTCACCCCTTGGCAGATATAATAGATATGAGTATATGATTAAATGATTAATTATTGAATTTTGATATAAAATATAATTAATAACCTTGAAAGGCTTACTTTGTTTGAGGGATTTGAATTTGGTAGCACGCGAGATAAATGGTTAGTCCACTGGAGTAGCAAGCATTAAAAAAAAATATCTTCCATATAATAATGCTAACTTGATCTTAATTATGCAAGATATTTAACCAAATAAGATATTATATTGTAACGCAAAACATATGATATATCAATTGGATTGCTTAAAACTAATTATAATCGACTTTTCTTGCATACTATACGAGCTTAAGCCAGTTAACAATTCTCAAATTGAACATTACTTAGGCCACTGAAGGCTAATTGCGCACACCCACTCAAGAAGACCAATATTGAAATTTTCAAGTGGGCATTCCACTACTACTCTTGACTCTTGACTTGTTCTAGTATGTCTACTTCGTTGCTAAGTGCGTGCATGCAGGATCAATGGATGTCATACATCATTTAGGTATAGCACATATAAATGTATATGTCCGAGTTTATAACTTTATAATAGAAGTTCTACGTTAAATTTTTGTTTATCCTAATAAATCAACAAGCTTTATCATTTTAATTAGACAATGTCATGTAAAGAAACTAAACCTCGTACTACGCACATCTCTAAGACTCTGTAGTCTTGTCAGGCAATATAACTGCATATTAAGATATATTTAGGGAATTTAAGATAGCATTTAGATTTTGGATAATATAGTTAGATTTAGGAAATATTCTATCTTATTTCATTAAGTTGATATAAGGTAGGAAACTTAATTGCTTGTATTATAAATTGATTGATTGTGTGTTAATGAGAATTAAGCCAAAGTTTATTCACAATACATAATTCTACATGGTATTAGAGACTAATTTTTGTACACAACACTACTTAGCTAATTACTTGTAGTTAACCGGTAATTTGTTCCTTACTTTTTGTTACAGTTTATTTGTCCCTATCTTTAAAAATGTTTTCTTACACAAAATTTCAGTTACCACATTCTCTATAATATACTTTTGTCTTTCAAAAACCCCACTTATAGCAGTCGTTCTTACTTTTTCTTACACATGTCTCACTTTTTACACTCTACCATATCCTCGTTGGTGTACGTAACTATCATTTAGGAGGGAGCATATTTTATTCCTCCACTAGTTGATGTAGATTTGTATCGAAACTTGTGAGTTGTGTTGCCTACTCTATATATAGTGGCAAATTAAACAACTTTATAGTAAAAACTATCAAAAAAAATTAACACAACACAACATTAACTACTATGCATGCCATGGCTATAAGCTACCTTAACGTCTCGCTGTTCATCGCAGCATTCTTATTGCTTAGCCTACGTCCTACAGGTATCTATTTCTTACTATGTTGCCATCAAATCTGAAACTAATAAACATGCATGGTTGTTTTTTTTTTTTTTTTTTTTTTTTTTTTTACAAGGCTAGGCTATGTTATATTGTTATGTACTAGAGAAAAGACACGGTTAACTAAAGCTTAGCTTGCTTCATAACGCTCGATAATGTAAAAGCGATTATCAAATAACATAAGATATGCATACTTTTATAACTTTTGAATCATAGTCACTTTGACCGACTAAACTTAATATTATTAGGAAAACTTACCCAAATTTTGTATCAACTACCTCACACTTAGCTTATACTAATGTTTTGTGATATTATGAATGGCAGAGGCACAAGTTGGTGTAAGCTATGGAAAGATTGCTAACAACTTACCATCACCACAAGATGTGGTGAACCTCTACAGATCTAACAACATAAAAGCAATGAGACTATACTTTCCGGACCAACCAACTCTTGAAGCTTTACAAGGAACAGACATCAAACTCATGTTAGGCGTCGCAAATGAAAATATTCGGTCCATAGCATCATGTCGATGTGCTGCATACCGTTGGGTCCGAACCAACGTCCTCCCCTATCGATCCTCGATTAGTTACATAGTGGTGGGGAATGAAGTTGACCCGTCTAGTGAACCAGCATCATCAGTCGCACCAGCTATGCGAAATATTCAATATGCACTTGACGTACTAAATATAAACAATGAAAATGATGAAGTTAAAGTTTCTACGGCGATTAATGCAAACCTAATAACAAACTCGTACCCACCATCTAATGGCCAATTTAAGGATCCGTCGTATATAGCCCCAATAATCGACTTTATGAATACTCACGACTCGCCTTTGTTGGTTAATGTTTACCCGTACTTTGCTTATGCAAATGATCCAAAAGATATTTCACTAGACTATGCCTTATTTACATCCCCTGGATATGTTTTTACGGACCCTAATAACGGGTTACGTTACCAAAATTTATTTGATGCAATGGTAGATTCAGTGTACGCGGCTCTGCGGAGGGCAGGTGGACATCATCATCTACGTGCCGCAGCATCCGAGAGCGGATGGCCATCCAACGGAGGATTTGGTGCCACATTTTCCAACGCGATGACCTACAATAGAAATTTGATCAATCATGTGAAGCAAGGGACTCCTTTAACACCAGGGCAGCCTATTGAGACGTACGTGTTTGCAATGTTTGATGAAAATGAAAAACAAGGGCCTGAAACTGAGCGTAATTTTGGGCTTTTTCATCCAAATCAACAATCAAAGTATGGCTACCTTAGTTTCTAATGAAAACAAGGGGCATTTGTATGTAATGTATGTGTGTACAAATGTACGTGTTTTTATGAACTACATCGAATAAGACAATCTTCTTTGGCCTTCATCACACACTTAGCGAATCTGACCATGAAACAGGATTAAACAGATTTGTTAGGAGTGTCGGTTCAATAAGGCAGTTCTCTTTACCTTTACGAGAAGTAATAATATAAGACGAACTTATTTATGTACGTGGTAACTTTTTTTGTTTATGTAAAAACTTATTTATGTAAATTATCATTAGAAAAAAAGTCATGCAAAAAAAAAAAAGCAAGCTAGAAGTATCAACTATGCTTGGAGTTGAAAGAGGCTTGGTTTCCTATACTGGACCATCATTTAGCCGTATAAAAACATCTCGCATGCCCAAGTTTCACTGGAGTAAAAATATCCGTTTAAATCTTGGCCCAATTGTATTCTAGTGAGTGATAAGTACTCCGTACTTCATATTAAATTATTAACATAATTGTGGTTGGCATATGACTCCTCACACATGCATCGAACACACGTTTTTATACTAGAGCTATATTTTTCAAGTTATTTCAAGATCTTATTATTTATTGAATAAAACAATCAATGTAATTAACTAGCAAGCACAATAATCATATATAAAGTCACATAATTTTTGCACCTAAATCAACGTCACATTATTTTGCACCCAAATTAAGGTCACATAATCTTATTCAAAGCAAGCACAATATGCATAGTTTATTACATACGAGTAAATATGAGCATTGATAAACCTAACTACATATACTACTACACTAATCTTAAACACGAATAATCAAGTATCAATCATCTCTGAATTGATCCTTGATTAACTAGCATTAGCTTCTTATTATTTAATCCCAATCTAGAAACCTAATTAAGTTTATTACTCCACATGTCTTAGTAAATCACATCTTATCAAATTCTTGCCTCAGCTGGTTGTAATTTTGAGTAAGACACTTGAAGCTCTCCCTTTTCTTGACATCTTCTTCCTTCTTGTTCTTCTCTAATTCGCGCTTCGCGTCATTGATTTGGCTCTTTAACTCTTCAATCCTTTTAGTTTTTTCATCATGCTCTTTTTGCACTCTTTCCAATTCTACAAATTACATACGAAGTACAAAGTGTTAAACAATGTGATAACCTTAATTAATTTGTGTTACATAGATTTTCATTATTCAAGTGTACAAAACCAAAAATTATCTAACCTCTTGGTTGTTGGGAAAAACTTTCAAAATCCATTTCTCTTATTTCCTCAATACCTACAAAAGATTGTAAGGGAAAACAAAATCATAGTTAAAATTTAGTAAAAACAATATAATACAGTATGATAACAAGTATATGAACAATATAATACTAGCAAACTACAAGACATTTATAATTTAATGTAACAAAATTAGCTTGGAATTTCATTGAATGCCTTTGTTTTGTTTAAATGTTTTCTCCTAACCAATTAATTAACCATGCATTGAAAACTTTACCTTCAACACTTATAAGTTTAACCTAATTACAACCATTGGACAGTAAAACAATCAAAAATACAAAATTTGATTCAACGTGAGATATATGGAGTTCATGGTATGGTACTCACCCTCGACATCTAATATTATTATACAAACTCGGGTTCAATCTTGAGAAAAGACAAAAATATAATTTACGTAGTTACATCGATTTATTTATAAAAAAAAATTGAAAAGAGAGGAAGAAACATGCAAAATAGCATTACCTTGATTGACTGCTGATACGTTAATTACTTTGTCGATAATATATCCTCAGCTTCCCAACATTTAAAGAGAGAAAATCAACAAATTTGTCGCAGTTTATTATGTGGGGTTTGGATAATTTTAATTCTTCCTTGTGTTATGTGATATGGTTGAAGGTTTGCTCAACGAAATTTATTTTGGTACCTAATGATGTACTTTCTTGAAGCCTTGACCCCTTCGGCCCTTATATATTATCCCATGTACTCATTTGGTAGAGATATGAGGTATAATCCATTTCGAAAAATATATTTGTCTCATTTAATTTTCATATTGAAATTAGGAAAATAATATCTTTAGGACTTTTAATTTTTTTTTTTTGGCAAGATTTTTAGGATTATTTAAGTTGATACTCCGTATAATTTAGTTAATCATATCCTAACATAAATAATCCTATTGATACATGTTCGGAATACTAAAATATACTTCGTATATTTTTTGATATTAATTACTAAGTATATCTTATATCTTTCACAAATAATTCTCTTTACACTTGCATCTGGATGCAAACAGAAGTAGATTCTCATTTTATAGTATATTTATTTATTATTTTGCTCATTTTACATTTCACCTTAAAAAAAAGTTGTACTTGTATATTGGTATTGTTGAATGGATTGTTAGTTTTTATATTTTAATGTAGAGTTAATAACTAAAGTATTACGGAGTACGACTATACGAGTACTTGTAAAGTTGTACTCCCTCTATTATTCTAAGTGTTCCATTTTTGTTTTATTCACTTACCACTTTGATCAATGCTTGTGAATTATATATAAGAAAAAATATAATCTTATGTGTACTTATTGAAATCATTTTAATGAATAGATTTTTAACTTTTAATTATTATAGTTTATACTTATTGATAATTAAAATATTATTGGTCAGAGTTTTGAAGTTTTGTTACGTGTGTCAAGCTTTAATAAAGCACTTCAAAAAAAAGGAAGCAAAAAATTGGGAGTAAATCTTGAATAAAAATAATTTTTATTGGTTAATTAAAATACTCCGTATAAAAATGAGACAATCTTACATAGATGGATAAGGAATTAATAATAACAGTACTATGATAGTACAGTTCAACAACAGTAATTTGTAACCTCTCTGACAAGTTCAAATGGTTTTGGTCATCAATATATTTATTGCTCTGCAAATTATCATCATGTTTTTACCAGATTTTTTTTAAGTCAACATCTAGACCTACTGAATTTTATGTGCTCCATACATTTCTGATTTTACTTCAATTTCAGAGACAATGCATAAAATTCTGAGGAATCCATTAAAATCTCAAGCTGATTACGAGTAGTATGTAATACAATTCCTCCATTCATCTGATTGGTTGATTTAGTTCTTTCTTTGGTTGATAAGTTGATTTAGCATACACAGTTTGCAAAACAAGTACCCATACATTGGTAAAAACTTGAGCCAACTAGCTAACACATAATTCTTGCATAATCCGGGGTGTTTGCTCATTCATATACTTTCTCCGATCCATTCTTAACTACTGTAGCAATTATCTTTTAAAAAAGTTTTATAAATATTGATTCTTCTCATTTTAAGCGAATTCAACCTCGCATTTCAAATAGTAAATATCCAATAAACCCTTATTGTAACTTTTAAGCTCTTTATTAACATGATTTTGTGGATACAATAATTTAAATAATTTAATCGCCTATAAATCTATATAAAAAATTCTCTAAAACTTGAAAACTGTGAGATACACTAGTAGTAGAACGAAAAGAAACCTAATTAAGCTCATATATATCGATTTATTGACCTCATAAGCATAAATTATTCTACCGACACGTAGGCTGACGTATATAATTAATTAAGTGAACAAAACAACAACTAGCTCAGATTAATTAGGCAAACTAACCTCGTTAGAGAAAATTTGCTTGATTGTTGTGTATAATAAGTTCCTTTTTTCCCTCATAACCAACTTTACTCACACTAGACTTAGCAATAAGGATGGATCTATGATTTTGATTTAAGCTCGTATCACAACAACAATCAAAGCCTTGATTTGAGTATATAAGCTATAGAATGGAAGTGGTGGTACTAGTTGCTTGACTAAAAATGAGCACTAAAACAAAAACCTAAGGAAAAAGAAGCATCTTTCTATTGATGGAAAATCATAGCACTATATAGATTTTGTTACATATTTGTATTATACTAAATGATGGAGGGAGGACCTTTGGCCTATTGTACATTGATATGAAAGTTATTGCTTGTTATTTGGTACTAAGAAAATCATAATCATAATGCGCCTTGACACATACATGTTGCACCATAGAAGGTGATACCTCCCATGTGAACCTACTCCCCACCCTTACATATTGCCGTATTGCCCTTTTATATTGTTGTTTTCTAGGTTTTCTTCGTCATAAGACACGTAACAACATGTGTGTCTAGGGGGATAAAAGAAGAGGAATAGGGATTTTGGGAAAGGGCTGGGATTAGAGAGGGATGGAACAAAGATTAAAAACTCCCTTATCCCTCAATAATATTCTATTAGTTTTGTGCCTGGGCGATGTTCAGATTGCTGATAAAATTTTAGTATAAACTTTTTTACTTGAATGTTAAATACGGTCTTACAATCCCTTTTGATGATATAGGATATTTAGACATACGATGTCATGTTGCTTATTTAATTAAATAATAATAGTGTACTTTTTGTAGTTCAGTTTGTAAATATCTATGTTATTATTGACTTGAAATTATATTTATTAAACTTAAAATGTTTTTTTTACTAATTCTCTATTATTATTTTTAAATAAATTAAATATATTATAAATTGATCTTATTTTAAAGAACTTTTTAAAACGAATTTTATGACAGAAATAGAACCGATTTATATGAAATTTATTAAAAGTTATGCTTAATTTTGTATATATAGAAGTATATTGATAATAAAACTCTATACAACATTTTCATCTTAAAAAAACAATCCAAAATTCACTTACTTAGTATCATATGTATCACAATAATATTTATTTTTCGCGTACGTGGCGCGACACTTGGCGAAAAGCTGGAATGCCAAGTGTCACTTCTCGTGGCTTGGCTGCAAGACCGGCTTTATATATTAGTGACTAGTACGTACCCCCGGGCGATGCCCCAGGTTCCCTCCATAATATATATCCTTATGTTTTAAAAATCCTTACATTAATTGGCTACTTATAAAATATTTATAAGAAATAATTATTTTCTCAAAAGCATTATCACTAATGTCTACATCTATCCATGACCACGTTTGAAATATTAGTTGCTTTAAATGTCCAGAATTAGATGAGTTATTTAATTTTACGGTTCGATTGACATTTAATAATTTGAGTACTCCTAGACTTTATTCACAACCCTCAGTTTGAAAGTAAGTATTCGGCTCCTAGACTTTAAGGATTTCTTCTTTTTTTTTTTAAAGACAATTGTCTATTTGAAATTTTAATTCTGGTGGCTATGCCCGATTTGTAATTGAATTTTAAAATAAAAGTTTTATCTATATGCCAAAATTTAAAACACATCATTGATACAAACATTGTTATGTAAGAGGTGTATATCCTTTTGATTTGGGATATTTTGACGTAGGATATATATTATAGAAATATACACTATATATGAGAAAAATATTTATGTTATTCGAATTTTTTACTCATGGGTTAATAATCACTTGACAATCATACTTATAAAATTAAAAATATATTACTACCGATCATAAAGTTGTGGGTTATAATTTTTAAAATATATCATAAATGGGTTTTTTTTTTTAAAATACTCTTTAACTCGAATATTATGATATAAAAATAATGAATTATATATTAAGATAATAATTATTGAAAGTTATAATTTATTTTTTAATAAGATTATAATTTTATTTGTACATACATATAAATTATTGGTATTTTATCGAAAAAAAACTCTAAACCGGTAATTTTATCCTAAAATCTATCAAAATTTTATTGAAAATAAAAATCTTAACTAACTTTTTTATCTTATAAAATATATCTAAATTTATCCAACATTTTCATCCTACGTGACATACTAATAATTGATTGTTGCCTACGTGGCGTGACACTTGGCGAAAAGTTAAAATGCCAAGTGCCGCTGTTTTGTGGCTTGACTAAAAGTTTAACTGTATATATTAGTTACTAGTTTTGTGCTCGGGCGATGCCCAGATTGTTGATAAAATTTCAATATAAACTTTTTTGCTTGAATGTTAAATATAGTCCTACAATCCCTTTTGATAAAGTAGGATATTTAGACATACAATGTCATATCGCTTATTTAATTATATTATAGTGTATTTTTTGTAGTTTTGTTTGTGAATAGATATCTATGTTATTATTGACTTGAAATTATTTTTATTGAACTTAAATTATTTGTTTACTAATTCTCTATTATTTTTTAAATAAAATAAATATATTATAAATAGATCTTATTTTAAAGAACTTTTTAAAACAAATTTTATGATGGAAATAGAACCAAGGATATTTATAAAAAGTTATGATTAATTTTGTATATATGAAATAGTAGAAGTATATTGATAATAAAATGCTATACAACATTTTTATATTTAAAAAAACTATCCAATATTCACTTAATATCATATGTGTCACAACAATATTTAATTTTCGCCTACGTGGCGCGACACTTGGCGAAAAAGTGGAATGTCGAGTGTCGCTATCTCGTGGTCTGGCTGCGAGACCGGCTTTATTTAATGGTGATATTGTGCCCTGGCGATGCCTAAATTATATTGATGATAAAATTTTAGGATAAACTTTTTACTTGAATATGAAATATGGTCATCTAATCCCTTTTGATAATGCAAGATATTTAGGCTTACAATATCATATAATAGTGTAATTTTTGTAGTTTTGTTTGTAAATATATCTATGTTGATGCCCGAATTGTTGATAAAACTTTACGATAAACTTTTTGGCTTGAATGTTCAATAATACGATCATGTAATTTCTTTTGATAATACAAGATATTTAGACATACGTATCATATCGCTTATTTATATAATAATGTACTTTTTGTAGTTTTATTTGTAAATAGATATCTATGTTATTATGGACTTGAAATTATTGTTATTGAATTTAAATTATTTTTACTGAACTGAAAGTATTCTTATCAAACCAAAATTATTTTTACTAATTAAAACTTATTTTACTGATTACCTAATATTTCTTAAATAAAGTAGTAACAATGTATTTTGTATGCGGCTAACCAGGCCACACCATCTGGCCGAACAAAGTAACCCCTATAAAACTGATCGAGTAACCCTTGTTATACTAACTAAGTAACCTCTATCTATAACATGATTGAGTAAGCACTATAACACTGATTAAGTAACTCCTATAGCACTAAAGAAGTAACTCTGATATTGTAAT